GCATACAGACAGACAGAGACCAAATCACCAGACACCAAATACCTCCTGTTTACTGTCAACTGGTGACCCGGCCTCCTCCTTCTCGCCAGCAGGAGTTTAAAAATAGAAAAAGCATGTTAGTAAACAGAGGCACGGCTCGGGTCTGCATTTGTCAGCATAATGAGAAAGGGTTAAAAACTGTAAAGCCGTTAGCAGGATTTATGAGCAGTGCAGAGTAAGCATGTAAGCCTGAGTGAAAGGAGAAGAGTTAGTGAATGCTAAATCCAGCAAAGCTGCCACAGCGTTATGCCCCTGCTGGATAAACCTCAGCTGGACTCAGACGCTTGCACTGCACCTCTTTACATCATCGCCTCCCTGCACTTAAGCCAGAGTTGTGGGCAAGGTGACTAAAAGTGTGCGTTTAGCCCTTCTGTCATTGGAAACTCATTAAAGCTCCATCAGGAGGTCTTTATTACCATGATCTCCTTTTTTCTGCTCGGAGTCACGTCGCCGTCATGGTCCTGCTCCGCCTCCCGGCCCTGCTCGTGCTCCTTCTCCTCTTCGTCCTGTTCCAAACTTGGCTCCAGCTCCGTTTCCTGCTCGTCCCCGGAGGGGCTGTGCAGACGTCGGTGTTCACTGATGCTGCGGTGAGAAACGCCGTCGTGGTTCTCGCACATGGCTGATACCGGCCGTGAAAACTCTGTTGGTCAGACAGATGAGAAGCGTTGGATATTCTGGGAAGAACACTTAATTTACTTTCTTCCACAGATGATGAGAAAACGCTGTCTTTGGCTTCACTTAGTTTAGCTTCACATGCTGTTCAAAGGTAAAAACAGTGTGATTTACAACACTACTCTTTGAGCAAAGTGAAGCTAGCTGTTTCTCCCTGAGAAGCCTTCATGCTGCAGCGCTCACCTCCATCCAAGCTCCGGGAAAGCAGATACCTCTTACTGGTCGACCGCTCGAAGTGAGGAGCAGGCCGGTCTATGAGAGCACTGGCCTGCCTGGTTTGAGCCTGCGTCCTTCCACTGTATCGAAACTTTGAACCCATCACCAAGAATCCCTTAGGAGGAGGCTCAGGAGATACCAGCCTGTGAAACAGACTGTGATTAGCAAGCAATCTGGATCTCTCAAAGGCAAAATACAGAGATATGTGGATTACTAATAGCTGAATAAATTATTTCAAGTCTCAACTTAAATAAATGTGCATCATGTTTTCAGCTTCAAAGTCACAGATTCAAGCTTCCCATGGATTTAAATGGTTCCATTTATTTGTTCACAGAAAGATTTATTCACACTTTTCATAAACTCCATTGTTGATCCATATTTGTTGATCTATATTTACTAGGGATGCAACGATGCCAATTTTTTCAAACCGATACGATACCGATACTTGGATCTGAGTACTTGCCGATACAGAGTACAAAAACCGATACTTCTACCACACACACACACACACACACACACAAATGCAATGAATTG